GTGACCATTTTTCTATAATCTTTTTGCTGCTCTAAACACCAGTATTTCCCCATTGTGGTACAATAAAGCGAATTTCTATTCTATTATTTAGGTTATTCAACCATTAGATTGTTAGAAAGTTGCAATTAATTGCGCTTTTATGAAACTTTTTACATCCAACAGCGTATCTCAGCCCTCATCTATACCTGGGTGACAAACCAGGCTGATTAACCCTGAGACCCTTCAGCTAATCGAGTTCATCTTTGTTCAAAAATAAAAGTTATACACTAATTTGTTTTAGTTTGGATAAATTTACCGGATTAGGGGGAAAATTCCAAACAAAAATCCCCCTAATTTTCCAGACTTTCAGAAGAGATAGTTCCTGATCTTTTGTCAACTGATTGGTGCATCTCTAATCCAGACAGTTCAGCTTTAACAGAGGTCTGGTGGAGTCCGGCAGCCACAGCTCACCGCGCTGTCCCTCCGCCCTCTGCGGTAGCGCTCCTGGGAAACGCTGCTGACGGTGTCATCGTCTGAGGAGGAGTGCTAGAAATACCCACATATAACAGACAGAGATGGTAAGAAACCAGGGTGAAGGAAGGACATTTACATGCCTCGCTTTTCAACACACAGATCTGCAGACTTCCAAGAGATTACTGGATCCCAAAACAGAACAGCTTCATGCACCTTAGACTGATCGGTTAAAATGTTCAACCTCTCTACCCCCTGCTGGAAAATGCAACAGTGTCCATCAGCAGCACAGTTTCCTGAGTCTGCATCATCATTTCTAACAGGAAGGGTGTCTGGTAGAGAGGCCGGGTGAGGATAGTGTTTGTGTGCTCATGCGGGGCGGCGGTGGTTTTAGGGTGCTCACCACAGGGCTGCTGCGGGTGGAGCTGGCCCCGGAGGAGTACCAGCTGATTTCAGATGGCTGAGAATTAAAGGAATGAGATGTGAGCTGCTGAGGGATGACGACGGCAAAAAAAACTGCTTCCAAAAACATTTAGAGCACTTACAGCTCTTGAACTGTAGCCTGAGCCGTAAAGACCAGCGTCATCGTAAATAGAGGCCTGAGGGCACATATGGGAGACAGTACAAAGCTCAGCAAGAAAACAGTGAGTGGAAGTCGATGACGCAACACCCAAGTAGGTGGAGTACAGTTACTTTCTGCAGGCCGTGCAACACACAGACAACGTCTGTTCTGCCTGATTCACTCCTTGGAAAAAAGTTATTCATTGGGTTTGCTCACAATTTGAACACGTTACAACCACTGCCTGATGATGCATGGTTTATAAAAGAGTGGCGTTGGTTTTTATGCAGCCTCCTTGAATCAATAAATACAACCTAAAGTCACATTTAGCCGCCATTACAGCAGGAAGTCTTTTAGAGTATTTCTACACCAGCTCTGAACTCTACAGCCTGATATTTACGGCTGATTTATACTCAGAAACCAGGTCGTCTGTGTGTCGCAGTGAACGCAGATATGCCCCGCCCCTTCCGCAGACACTCTGAGACAGGAGGCCTCTGATTGGTCAAATCTACATCCGCTCTACTCTATGCGTATTTCCTGTTTGGTTCCTTACCAGCTTGTTTTGTTTGTATGACCGCCATTACGGAAAATGATTCGTGAAGTTGAACTAGCTAGAAGAGTGAGGTGCGGGAGAACGCTGGGACCCTTTTTCCACCTGGATACCTGCTCGTATCCGCTCTCATGTCCCTCAATTGTCGCACAAACTTGCCCCCGCTTTCTCAACGCCTCAGCCGTATCTAGACTCACAGCTGGTTCGTGATTCTCCGCGTTGTGGAGTGGAATAACATAACGTAGACCATGCTTCAATATTGGGCATAAATCAAAAATGCCGATGGAGGGCGACAAGTCCAGCCTCAGACTCAGATCCATTTCTGGACTTTGACTAGGCCATTCTAACACATGATCATGCATAAGCCAGGCATACACTGTGCAATATTTTCAATCTTTGCATGCAACTACAACTCAAAGAGTACGACAAAACCGCAGGGTTTAAAAGTCGAGAGATGACGTTGGTCGGACTCGCCTATCTGGAAGCAGAACTCCCTTGTTTGCACATGTGCAGAGCTCCAGGTTCTGGTAAATCAGCTCGTAGCTCTGCTTCAATGGCAGGATTTGCCCACAAGCACCTCACGACGGCCGACTGAATTGCAAACATGTTTGATTTTCTCTAGGAATGCACGATATAATCGGCCCCCTATCGGTATCGGCCTGAAACTGAATATCGGAAATCGGGCACCCCACCGATATTTAACCCGATATTTGATCAGCTTCTGAGTTTCTAAAGTCTAAAAAAAAATGTTATTTCTTCCTCAAAAACTTATTTTTTACAGACTTAAAAACTTCTAAAGACGAGGGAAAAAATATTGACACATTAAAATATCCCAATATCTTCATATGCTGATATATTGCCATTTAAAAACACCATATCAATCTCTTTTACT